CCTCACCCACCCCCCACATCCCACCCTATGTGACCCTTTCTCTGTCCCTTCCCCCCTCCAGGCCAAACGCCGGCTGGACCTGGAGGCGGAGCTTCGTGACCTAAGCAACCAGGTGGGCGGGGCCGGCGAGGTGTCACTCAAAGCTAAAAACCCCGCCCCCTTTTTTTGCATAGGCGGTAACGGAGCTGTCAATCAACTCCGTGTGCCCCGCCCACCTCCTGCAGGTGGCGGCTTTGGGGCGGAGCCTGGCGCACGAAAGGGGGCGGAGCTTGGCGGAGGGCGGGGCTTTGAGAGCCCTCGAGATCGCGGTGGGCGGAGCCAAAGCGAGAGTGGGCGGAGCCTTCCGGGCCCGGGATCGAGCATGGGAGCGGCTGCGCCAACAGCAGGTGGACGGGGCCAGCGATGGGGGCGTGGCCTGCGAATGGATCGGGGATAAAGGGGCGTGGCCTAACGTAACCCCGCCCACTCAGGAGGCGGGGCGAGGCTTGTGGGCAGAGCTTGAGGCGGCGCGTGCGGCGCGGGAAGGGGCGGAGCTTCGGGCACAGGAGGCGGAGTCACAATGCCGGGAAAAAGAGGCGGAGCTGAAGAGGCTGCGGCAGGTGGGCGGGGCCACGGGGCTGGGGGCGTGGCTACACGGGGAGCGGGCGTGGTTACACAGTGTGGGCGTGGCTACAAGGGAACGGGCGTGGCTACAATGGAGAAGGCGGGGCTAGAAGGGAGTGGGCGTGGCTACAGCGATGTGGGCGTGGCTGCAAGGGAGTGGGCGTGGCCACACCAATAATTGCGTGTCTGCACAGAAGTGGGCGTGGCTGCAAGGGAGTGGGCGTGGCCACACCAATAATTGCGTGTCTGCACAGAAGTGGGCGGGGCTATACGGGAGTGGGCGTGGTCCATTGGCCCGAGGGCGGGGCAAAGCGACCAAGGGGGCGTGGCTAAGTAGACGGGGCGGAGCTAAATGGAAAGGGCGTGGCTTGGTGGCAGAGTGGGCGGGGTTTACTGTGCGTCCATCACGGCCCCGCCCGCAGGCAGTGGCTGCAGCCCACCATGCCCGGCAGAAGGCAGAACAGGACCGGGATGACATCTCCACCCACCTGCCCCCTCCACCCCCACCCACGTGAGTGACCCCCCCTTTGGACGCGCCCCCCCCCCGCCCCTCCCTGGCCACGCCCACAGCCCCCATTGGCTGCCCCTACCTTATGGCCCCTATAGTGCATCCCTTATACCCCCTATAGTGCACCCCACAAGCCCCTGTGCCACATCCCCTATAGACTCCATGCAATATCTCCTATACTCCTCACGGCACACCCCCTACGACCCCATAGTTTCTCCCCTATATACCCTCCCATGCCCCGTGCCCCCCCTGCTGACCCTATAGCCCCTATGGGTGCAGGGGGGACCAGGACCCTGCGGGGCTGCAGGCAGCGCTGGTGGAACTGCGGGAGCACAACTGGGAGCTGCGGCAGCGCCTGCAACAAAGGCACGAGGAGGTGGGGGCTTATAGGGCACCTATGGGGGAACCTATGGGGGACCTATAGGGGCACTTAGGGGGTACCTGTGGGCCACATATGGGGGCACCTATGGGGTGCCTATAGGAGTACTTATAGGGGTACCTGTGGGCCACATATATGGGTACATATGGGGGCCTATGAGGGACTTATGGGGCACCTATGGAGGTACCTGTGGGCCACATAGGGGGGGACCTATGGGGGACCTATAGGGGCACCTATGGGGATTCCTGTGGGCCACATATGGGGGTATCTATGGGGCAACTGTGGGGATACCTGTGGGGGACTTATAGGGGCACCTATGGGGCACATATAGGGGTACCTGTGGGCCAACCTATGGGGTACCTATAGGGGCACCTATAGGGATACATGTGAGCCACATATGGGGGTACCTATGAGGGTACCTATGGGGGACCTATAAGGGCACGTATGGGGGCACCTGTGGGCCACATATGGGGGTATCTATGGGGCACCTATGGGGGTACCTATGGGAGATCTATGGGGGACCTATGGGGGTACCTATAGGGGTACCTATGGGGCATCTATGGGGGTATTTGTGGGGCACCTATGGGAGTACCCATTGGGGAATGTATGGGTGTACTTATGGGGGGGGCACCTACCGGAGGTGCTTATAGGGTTATCTTTGGGAGTGTCTGCCAGGGTACCTACAGAAAATGTAGAGAGGGACCAATGGGGGTACCTCTATCATCTCCAACGGGGGACCCTATATGGGAAAAAACACACAGGGGGTGCAGGGCGTGTGTTGGGACCCACGGGTTCCCCCGTGATGCAGGCACAGGAGCTGCAGCGGGCACTGATGGCTGCAAAAGCACGGACCAGGGCAGCAGCAGAGGCAAGGGCACAGCTGGAAAGGGAGCAGAGGGGGCTGCAGGGGAGGCTGCAGCACCCTTGGGTGCCCCCACACCCGACTGAAGCCACCCTGCGTGCCCGCTGCCTTCACCTGCAGGAGATGCTGCAGCAAGAGGCAGGGTGAGACATCCTATGGGGTCTTTGGGGGACTGCTGGGTGGGCTTGGGTGGTTCTATGGTGCCCCTAAGGTGGTCTCTTGGTGATCCCAAGGAGGTCCTGGGTGGTCCCAAGGTGCTCCATCATGGGCTTGTGCTGTCCAAGTTGGTCCTGGGTGGTCCAACGTGGTCCCAAGTTGACCAAGGGTGGTCCCACAATGTCGCATGGTGTCCCTATGATGTATTGGGTGACATCAAGGTGGTCCAAGATGGTCCAAGAGGTCCCAAGGAGGGCTTGGGTGGTCCCAGGGTGGTCCAAGGTCCCCCACTGTAGGCTTAGATATCCCCAGTGTTGCACAGATTGGTTCCAGGATGTCCCAAGGTGAACCAAGGAGGGCTTGGGTGGTCCCAAGTTGACCAAGGGTGGTCCCAAAATGTCCCATGGTGTCCCAAAGGACTATTGGGTGGCCTCAGGGTGGTCCAAGAGGTCCCAAGGTGGGCTTGGGCGATACCAGGGTGACCCAAGGTGGTCGCAGGGTGGTCCAAGCTCTCCCAGAGTGGGCTCAGATGTTCCCAGTATTGTCCAAGGTGGACAAAGGTGGGCTTGGGTGATCCCAGGGTGACCCAAGGTGGTCCCAAGGGTGGTCCCACAATGTCACATGGTGTCCCTATGAAGCATTGGGTGACCTCAAGGTGGTCCAGTGGTGGTCCTAAGGTGGCCCAAGGGCCCCAGGGTGGGCTTGGGTGGTCCCAGGGTGGCCCACATTCTCCCAGAGTGGGCTTAGATGGCCCCAGTGTTGCACAAATTGGTTCCAGGATGTCCCAAGGTGAACCAGGGTGGGCTTTGTTGATGCCAGGGTGACTCAAGGTGGTCCCAAGGGTGGTCCCAAAATGTCCCATGGTGTCCCTATGAACTATTGGTGGCCTCATGGCGGTCCAGTGGTGGTCCTAAGGTGGCCCGAGGGTCCCCCGTGGGTGCTGGTGGGTTTCATGGGGCACCCATGGGTGCTGCAGGGCGAGGGCAGCTCTGGGTCGGGCAGCGCGGGCAGCAGGACGGCAGCTGAGGGGGCTGCAGGCAGAGCTGGAGGAGCAGCGGCTGCGGGGGGAGCGGTACCGGCTGCAGGTGGGTGACATCGTGGGGGTGACGTCGTGGGGTGATGTCATGGGGGTGATGTCACACCTGGCGGGACATGACATCACAGGGGCGACAACACGGCTGTCTACTCCTTCCCCATGGGTCTCCACATGCCCCCATGGCCCTGGGTGTCCCCATATCCCACCCCATATCCTCATGACCCCATATCCCACCCTATGTCTCCAAATTCCACCCCACATCCCCATATACCTGCATTTCCCCATATCCCATCCCATATCCCCATGTCCCCACATCCCCATGTCCCCATATGTCCCCATATCTCATCCCATGTCCCCACCCTGTGTTCCCAATGTCCCCATGTCCCCATTCCCCATGCCCCCACATGTCCCCATGTCCTCACACGTCCCCATATCACACCCCATGTCCCCATATCCCCACGTCCCCATATCCCACTCCATATCCCCATGTCCCCATATCCCCACGTCCCCATATCCCACCCCATATCCCCATGTCCCCATATGTCCCCATATCCCACCCCATGTCCCCATACGTTCCCATATCCCACCCCATGTCCCCACCCCAGGTCCCCATGTTCCCACCTCACATCTTCACGTGTCCCTGTGCCCCCACATGTCCCCATGTCCCCACAAGTCCCCATATCCCACCCCATATCCCCATATCCCCACACATCCCCATAACCCCACCCCATATCCCCCCACATGTCCCCACAGGCGGAGGCCACCGAGGCAGCACATCGTGCCCTACAGGACCAGCTGGCCGTGGTGACATCGGGGACATCCCGTGCCCACGCTCAGGGTCAGATCCTTCGCCGGGCTCTGGAGGACATCGGGGACGGCACTGCAGCCACTGCCTGTCATGTGGCTGCACTGCGGGTCCGCCTCAGGTGGGACCTATGGGACCTCATTATGGCACCCTATAGCTCCCTAGGGCACCCTAAAGCCCTCCACAGCCCCTATTAGAGCCCCTTACAGCCCCTATAGCACCCTGCAGCATCTTAGAGTCTCTATAGCACCCTATAGCCTCCCCACAGCCCCTATAGCCCCTTAAAGCACCCTGTAGCACCTTATAACTCCCCACAGCCCCTATAGCACCCTGTAGCCCCCCACAACCCCTATAACACCCTGTAGCCCCCTATAGCCCCTTATAGCCCCTGTTGCACCCTACAGCCACCCCAACATTCCCTATAGCACCCTATAGCCCCTATTGCACCCTACAGTCCCCCACAGCCCCTACAGCACCTTGTAGTCCCTATAGCACCTACAGCCACCCCAACAGGCCCTATACGGCCTGATAGCCTCCTACAACCCCTATAGCACTCTATAGCCCCCCACAGTCCCTATATCCTCTTATAGCCCCTATAGCGCCCTACAGCCACCCCAACAGTCCCTATAGCACTCAAGGGCCCCTATAGCACCCTGTAGCCCCTCACAGCCCCTATAGCACCCAATGGCCCTTATAGCACCCTATAGAGCCCCACAGCTCCTATAACACCCTGTAGTCCCTATAGCACATGACAGACCTCCCCACAGTCTCCTATGGTGCCCCATAGCACCCCACAGCCCTTATAGTCTCTTATAGCCACTATAGCGCCCTACAGCCACCCCAACAGGCCCTATAAAACCCTATAGCCCCTATAACACCCTATAGCCCCCCATAGCTCCTTACAGCCCCTGTTGCACCCTACAGCCCCTATAGCACCCAAGGGCCCCTACAGCACCCTATAGTACCCCACAGTCCCTATAGTACCCTATAGCCCCTATTGCACCCTACAGTCCCCCACAGCCCTTACAGCACCTTGTAGTCCCTGTAGCGCCTACGGCCACCCCAACAGCCCCTATAGCACCCTACAGCCCCCCACAGCCCCTATAACACCCTGTATTCCCTATAGCACACTGCATAGGGCTGTGTAGGGTGAGGGGGATGTGTGTGTATGTGGGGGGCATATGGGGCCAGAAGGATGATGGGGGGGGGGCTTTCTGGACCCCCCTGACCCCATCCCAATGTTCCCCCCAGGTGTGACCCCATGACACTGAGCCGCACCGTGCGCAGGATGCTGAGGGGGGAGGACGAGGAGGACAGCGGGGGGGGGGCGAGCAGCAGCGATGGGGAGCAGCTCTGAATGAATGGGAGCCACGGGGCGGGGGGGGGAGCGGGACGGCTCCAATGGGGGGCGGGGCTTAAAGGGGGCGGAGCCAAGGGGCGGGGTTTTAAAGGGGGCGGGGGTTAAGGGGGGCGGAGCCAATGAGGTGTGGCTTTAAGGGGGCGTGGTTTAAAGGGGGCGGAGCCAATGAGGCGTTGCTTTTTCAAAAGGGGGCGTGGCTTAAGGGGGCGTGGCTTAAAGGGAGTGGAGTCACGGGACGGGGCTTAAAGGGGGCGGAGCCAATGGCGGCACGGACCAAGGGGCGATCGAAGCGGGCGTGGCTTTAAAGGGGGCGGGGCAAATGAGCGTGCTTAAATGGAGGGCCTATGATTGGGCGTGGGGTGAAAGTGGGCGGGGCTTAGCGGGGGCGGGGCCAAATGGACGTGGCTCAAAGGGGCGGGTTTTTAAGTGGGCGTGGCTTACAGAGGGGCGTGGCTTAAGGTCGCACCTGCATGGCGTGGCTCAGCGCTGCAGGGCGGAGGGCTGGGGGGGGCTCCTAACACCCCCACCGCGCCGTTGTACAGCCCTTCCAGCAGCACTTCGAGCACTATGAATGAGAT